CAAAATTTGGCCTGAATTATAACTGCCTTGGCCAACATTACGTGCAAAAAAAGGGTGCTTATTATCGGTAAAATACGGTAATAATTAAAAAATTATACGTATGTGGATTATAGAAAGGTTTATATTTTCAAATCGTAACCCAAATTTCAGCAGCATCCCCCACAATTACAAAATTAATAATATACATTTCTAAGCTACTACCATCTAAGTTCATACTATTGATAATATTACAAGAAATCGACATGTTATTTTTCATATCGATATGCACAAAATTTATTTTTTATACGAAGTAACAAGTTACCCGGGCAAATTGATTTACCTCTATAGAATTGAATAAACAATTATTGAATTGAATAAACAATTATTGAATTGTTTTCCCGATCTACAAAGAAATACTACAGTAGTTATGACAAAATGCCAAGAGAATAAAGGAAATATATAACTCGCTCCCACAGATCGATTCTGGCTGGTATCTAGAACTCACAAACGCAGTATCGAAAGAAGAATGGACAACCGCGTTAGAACAAACCAAAAACGATTCTGCACCGGCCTATCTGGTATAACATACCCATCATAAAACGAACCTGCCCAATATACTGGACGCAACAGAAAAGAAGCTTTTAAGAGGAAGAAAACCAACATGGTCGGAAGTTATTTTTTACTCGTATATTGATACTACCAATTAACTTTTAAAGATTCTTTGCTCGACCCTATAAACACTAATGCCACTCCGCAAGCTATTGCATCTTGGAAAAACTCCGAAAAATAATTAAGCGAGCAACGTGATGAAACTACAAAAAGTACACGAAATAAAGAAGGAACTAAAAGTAGATGTCAAAGCATACTCGACATGAAGTTAACGTTAAAACGCACGCGACGCGGCAAAACTACGTTGACGCGGCGAAGTTACTAGAAATGTTTAGATAAACACGACGTGGGAAAATAATATTGAAGCCAGTGAAAGTAAGTATCAATTAATATTAATGTGTTTCGCAGTTAATACTATTTTTGGCAGTTAGAGGTCTACTGGTCCGGAAGAGGAATCGGTTTGGTGCCTTCCTCAAACTGTTAAAATTGTATTATGTATTGAATACTTTCGATTGCTCACCTAGCACTTCTGGCGTATCTCTATATGCAAGTATATGAGTACATCGGAACTGTTATGAACTTCGTAATGTTTTAATATATTTCTACGAATCGTGAATTATTAGAATGTTACGAATAGGGTTTACATGGGCATGTTAATTTGTTAGGCATCAACATTCCGTTTCGGTTTGACAAGTTAAAAGTTGCCGTGGGTCCGTATCATTTTTTGATATTATTTCTACGAATCGTGAAATTTTATCGATATGTTACGAAGGCTGACATTTTTGGATTTGTTACACGAATCGTTGAACAAACCAAGAATGTTTAGCAATATTCTTCGATCTATTTCTACGAATCGTGAAATTAATCGGGAATATTCAGTATCGGAAGTGTGAAATATGGTTATATAAAGTGTTGAAAACCTTTATTTCTCTTGCATTCGCTGAGTTAATTAATCTTATTTAGTATTTTTATACTAATTTTTTTTTTTTTTTTTTTTTAATACAGTATTTTATGCTTTTTTCTATGAGTCCGTCTTTTCCGAAAGTCCAGCCATCAGCCAAAATATCTATGCAAAAAAAAAAAAAAAAAGAAGAAAAATTAAAATGATCTGTTGGCTAACCTCAGTCCAACCGATTTCTTAATCGTTTTCATGAAGAATGGCTTAGAAATTAGAACAGAAAACAAGCATAAGTGTCGAATTAAAAATGAAAACGGAAAAACGGCGTTTTTGGTATCAAGATCTTACTTTTCACGTATCTACGAACGGCCTTTGAAGTAATTTCCGATTGACGAATTGATAAATATCAAAACATACGATAAATAATTAAACCATATGTGATTGATGAAGCATAAGTGTTGAATTAAACAATGACAAATGGTGAGTTTATTGTACCAAAGTTTTAAATTCTCACATATCTATGAACAAGATAAAGCGTCTTACAAATTCAGCGAGTCTTGTGCTACTCATAATTAGTTCAATTATAATCTAGAGTAAGGTATATATATATGTAATATGATAATTTTTTTGCAAGGTGTTGTTCTTAATATATTGATAATAAGTTCCAAATTATTAAATAAATATAATTTTCATTAACGTAGATTTAAAACTACGTTATATGTTTGTAATTAAATTGTGATACCTTAGTTTTAGTGGTAAATGATTGGCTTAGCGAAACAAAATATTGCAGTTCTTTAACTTTAGCGATTATCAATTTATCTAGACGGTAAAAATCCGAAAGCAAAAAATTAACAAATCAAATAATCAAACCTTGTCTTAGAATCTATATTAAATTAATGATTTTTGTTAACAAATCAACACCAAATATATAAAGCTCTACCAGAGCATCGCTAAGTTGAAGAGCAAGAGTTTATATAAACCGCGATCAATTTCGTGATACGAGAGATAACCTTTTTTGGACATTTTTTCGCTATAAATGCTAGGGTGTTAAAGTTAACTGTAAATTGCACTTTATTACCACCTTGAAAGATTCAGAAACTGTTATTTATCACATTACTTTCGCCGTATAATGATGATAAAACACTGCAGCATCTAAGTAGAAATTTCGTTTATTATTGCACAATCGAAATGGAAAGGTAAATTTCATAAGCAACCAAAAAAATAAAAAATAAAGATAAAAAATACCTAATGGGTTTATATATATTTTAAGTAGAAACGGAATTTTAAATGGGTTTATAATTTTAGCGTTAAGGCTAGATAGAATATCGATATGGGTTTATATAACAATAAATTGAAAATCATTAAAGACGCTTTACAACATTGTGCTTCGCTAAGTTCACTAAGCCAATCATTTCTATCGGCATGCATTTTTGCGTGTATTTATTCTGATACATTAATGTCATGATCGCGTGGCAAAAATACTGTTCTTTATGAGTCGTCGGTGTTCCTGATAGGATAGGAAAAAATCCATTTACTGTAGAGTATTACCCAAAAGACCCGGGGTCTAATACAAAATACCCACCAAAACATTACAAAAGACCCAGGTATATTATGCTGTAGCGGGTCTGTGTCGCAATGAAGAAAATTTTCAAGTACGTACATATTTCACATTTACGATAAGCAATCAAGAAATTTAAAAAACCACCCATATTTAATAAATAGAGATATGTTTTGCGTCAGGGTATTTTGCATGGGGGTACTTAAAAATTGGGCAGTGCTCTATGGTACGTACCGTTTCTGATAGGGTTTAAAAAACTTAACGCACTATCGAAATAGTAAAATCATGGCGTAAAAAATTTGGCAATTCTTTTATTACTGCCAAATTCGATTGTAAGTAGTCTCAATCAACTCAACTCGATTGACCAATTAGAAATTAATCATTCGCAAATTTTCTTATCACATGATTAATAAAAAATTTTTAAATATGATGCAGACGGATTATGGTTTTTTTTTTTTTTTTAATCTGCTAGAGATATCAAAGAGTCGATATGGTGAGTGTGTGAGCGAAAATTTTCTAGTAAGGGTGTATTCTTTAATGTATAAATTGCATTCCTTGTAATTTAGTCATGCCGGCTAGAAAAGCTCCTTTTTTTTTTTTACAAAAAAATAAAATATACTTCCAACAACTAGTATTAATGAATATCCATCCATTTTCTTCTTAATCGAGATATTAACATTACAAATAAATCAGATCATAATGATCTAATTTGTGGCCTAAATTTTTCGATGGCTGGCTTACCAGTAGATAATTGAATTTATATTCAATGCAAGTTGTTTATTCACAAATAGTTTGTCCATTATTCAGGGTCGTGTCCGAACAAAGACCGTTAAGAAAGTGTGTGATTAATTTTATTAGAATTATTACTTTTACTACTTTTCGTATAAGCTAAATTGTTCTCTCTTACTTTTCAGGCGTCCCGGGTCATTATTGAAAAATATTATCCACGTCTTACTCTTGATTTTCAAACCAATAAAAAAGTAAGTTTGAGAATGCTTGATACAATATGTTATGTGCACAAGAGATAACTTTCCTTCATTTTATGTTAGATTTGTGATGAAGTCGCTATAATTGCGTAAGCCTTTTTGGATTCAATTTCAACAATGTTAATTATCGATAGCGTATTTCTTTGGAGAAAAAAGATATCTTATTAAAATATTTTTAAACTATCTAGATCTAAAAGGCTTCGTAATAAAATTGCTGGCTTCACCACACATTTAATGAAACGTATTCAACGTGGTCCGGTCCGTGGTATTTCCTTCAAACTTCAAGAAGAAGAACGTGAACGTAAAGATAATTACGTTCCCGAGGTCTCTGCTTTGGCTACAGAAAGTATTGAAATTGATCCTGACACAAAGGTATGAAATTCATGTTTTTTTTTATTTTATTTTTACATTTAGCCGAATTGCTAAGATTTATAATGTCTGGAAATAGGATCTTCTTAAATATTTAAATTTTGAAAATTTGGCCGGAATTACGGTCACGGCACCGCCAGCGATTAACACACTGGGTGAGCGCAATCCTCGCGTGGCTCGACGTGGTGGAGAGCGTGGAGGCGAACGTGCACCACGTCAACAGGCAGAAACCTAAATTGTTCCTAGGGATGGTAAAGTTAGTTTAGGTTTGGTTTAGGTTTTAAAACCTTTGGGTTCCAAATAAAAACCTATGAACCAGGCTTTTATATGATAAGTTCCAAATTATATAAACCTAGTTTTCAAAACTTTGTAAGGCATAAAAAAATAAAATGTATTAATAAAATGTTACTTAATTCATATCAAACTTTTAGAATATTTATATTTTGATCTTCTAAATAACTTAAGATGCTTAGTAAAATGGGATAATATTGCGAGGTGTATACGTATCGAAGTTAACATGAAGTTTTATCAAATAGATAGAGTCTAATAATTCTTATATACTATACAATTTTTCTCACCAAGATGAATCGAGTGATACAAACATTTGTTTCTAATCACCGGATTACTTCCCAAGCGATAAAATTATTTGACACTAATAAATGTTATGCAAACACAAGTTCACTTGCTTTTCTTTCCATCTATGGAGTTTAAATAAAATAAAATTTTAACACCACCATAATACACCCTTTTACCTTAAGTAATAAAAATATATAGCAGATAGCACGCACATATATTAATAAAAACGATCACGTGCGTTATATTTTTTCTTTAGCATTTACTGTAGCATCGATTCAATTAATACGCAACTAATCAGCATTTTTAATTTTCCGTTATCGTTATGCTACAAATTTTTTGATTGGCTTTCTATTTTTAGGTATATTAACGTGTTCTTAGTAGTCTACCAAGCTTCTGACGAAAATTATTTCTCTTAACGTGGCACAATTATGGACGTCGTTAAAGCAGTTCAAAATTACATCAACAAAATGGTCAATGAAGTAACGGGCATGAAGGTGTTACTTCTTGACGCGGATACGGTTAGTTTTTTTTAGACTGGGTATTCCTGTCTGCTTATAACTCCGCTTTAAACGTGGCAGAATTCTTTTTTGTTAGACCCCGATTATTTCAAATGTAATGACCCAATCTAGTCTACTTTCACATGAAACTTACCTGGTTGATCGAATCGACAATCGTAATCGCGATAGAATGCGTCACCTTAAGTGCATTTGTTTTCTTCGACCTACGATCGAATCCATTCAATTATTAGTTGAAGAACTAAGAGATCCTTGTTATGGCGATTATTATTTGTGTAAGCTGAATTTAATTTTTTATACTTATATAAGCACATGTTTATACTAAAATGATTATGATTTTAAAAATAAAAATTTACAAGATTTTAGCAATACAATTAAAAAATCTTCAATAGAAAGACTAGCTGAAGTAGACGAACAAGAGGTTGTTCGTCAAGTACAGGTATATCATAAAGTTACTATTTCATTGAGATGTTATGGTCATATTTTGACCTTTGAATGCTATACCTATATTTAGGAATATTTTGCAGATTATTGCGCAATTAATCCGGACTTTTATTCTTTAAATCTCTCATTACCACAACATCAACTTTATGGCGATTCAATACAAGCTTGGGACGGCAAAACACTCCAACGCGTCGTAGAAGGTGTACTTGCTGTTTTACTTTCTTTGAAGAAGAAACCGTTAATTCGTTTCGAAAGAATTAGTGAAATGGCTAAAAAACTTGCGCAAGAAGTTCTTGTAATTAGACTTTATATCTCATTTTACTTTATGCTTATTGCTATTGAATTTTAATATGGTCCTTCGTTTCATTAGTATCAAATGCAAGAAGAAGGCCCATTATTTGATTTTCGGCGTACGGATACTCCACCTATATTACTTATTCTTGATCGTCGTAATGATCCAGTTACGCCTCTTTTAACACAATGGACATATCAAGCTATGGTTCATGAATTATTAGGTATCCATAATGGTCGTGTTGATTTATCTGATGTACCAGATATTCGTCCAGAATTGAAGGTTTGCATATATTCAAATGCAAATATATATCTTAATACAGTTGATACTGTCTAATTGTACACCATATGTCAGGGACTTTTTTTATGCATATAAACAGTATATGCATTTATTTAAGTTATAAGAACCATTTTTGTTTTAATAATTAAAAATCGAAATTTTTTATGCATTTTAAAGAGTATACGCAATTAGACAGTATCGACTGTATATAATATATATGTATTTTATTTATTTACTTATTTATATTCATTTATACATTCCTTTTTATAAATTATAAGGAAATTGTCCTTTCTAGAGATCAAGACCCTTTTTACAAAAAGAATATGTATTTGAATATTGGTGATCTTGGTGCTAATATTAAATCTTATGTGGAAGAATATCAATCTAAAACCAAATTAAGCATGAACATTGAATCTATTGGTGATATGAAACGATTTGTAGAGGAATATCCAGAATTTAGAAAATTATCCGGAAATGTTAGTAAACATGTAGCTTTAGCTAGTGAATTGAGTCGATTATATGAAAGAGAAAATTTACTTGAAGTTAGTGAGTTAGAGCAGAGTCTTGCGTGTTATGAACAACATTCTAGTGATTTGAAGGTATACTTGCCACAATTATCTTTTCTTTTGTTATAATTATGGTCCAATAATAATAATAGTAATAATAATCAATAATTAGGCTCTTCAAAAACTCATAGCAAGTCCAAAGATATCTGACGAAAGCAAAATCCGCCTTGTTTTATTATATTCATTAAGATATGAAAAATCTCCAAATAATGCTATTACTTCATTGATCGATGAATTGCATAAACATGGTGTTAGTGAGCATAAAATTTCTGTATGTATGTTTGAAAACTCAATTATTATTTTTATTTTTTTTTAGACTATTACAAATTTGAGCATTAATAAACTTTTTTTTTTTTTTTTAGTTGATCGGATCAATGATTGAATATGCTGGCACAGATCAAAGGCAAGATGATTTATTTTCAAACGAGAGCATATTTTCTAAAGGAAAAAGTGCATTCAAAGGGCTAAAGGTACTAATTATAATGCCTTCATTATGCCTTAAGAGTTTTCGTAACGAGGTTCTAATTATTTAATTCTGTTGATTAGGGTGTAGAGAATGTATATACACAACATTCGCCTCATTTGGCACAGACTCTCGAACTGTTAATAAAAGGAAAATTGAAAGAAACCAGCTATCCTTTTATTGGTGGTGCAACAAAAGATAGGTAATATAAATTAACAATTTTATATTTTCTTGAAATTTTAAGTATAACGTTTTATTAATTTTGATCATGATTATGTAGACCACAAGATATTATTATATTTATGATTGGAGGAACCACGTATGAGGAGGCACGTCACGTCGCTCATATAAACGCAACAACTCCTGGAGTTAGAATTGTATTAGGTGGAACTACGGTTCATAATAGTGACAGGTTTGTTATAAAACTAAAATTTAATTATTAAATTAATATTTTTTATATATGTTCTAATACATACTTTATATTTGCTTTATATTTGCTTTATATTTGTGATAGCTTTTTGAATGAGATTCAAGATGCGTTTTACCGATTTCCAACCGGAAGTCCTGCTGGTGCTAGGCCACCCAAATTTGGAAGAAACCGACGTTGAAATTAAACGTATCAATTTATAATATAGTTAATATTGTTTAGTGAGATAGATGTTTAGTGAGATAGATATTTAATATTATATATTATATATTATATATATTATATATATTATATATATATTGTGTATATTATTTTATTAAGAAAATTTAATAATAATGAAAGTATTCTGATTGTGATAAAAAAATCTTTTATTACATGATATATATTATGTGATAGATTGCATGTAAACATATAAATCTAATAAATAATTATACAACCTTTAAAAACACAAGTTCAAAAGACATAATTGTATAATTAATACGTAATCTGATAACATTAATTAACGATAACATTAATTAACCTTGGGCTTTTTTTTTGATGGCTTAAAACTAATAGTTGGGTATATTTTTTTTTATTTTTTATTTATTAATTTATTACAGAATACAAGTATATTTAAAAAAAAAAAATTAAGATTTCAGTATTAACTTTTTTTCAAAAAAAAAAAAAAAAAATTAAGAAAAAAAATGTTAAATATTCGACATTTGAAAAAAATGAGAGGATATAGGTACGCAATTATTATTAGGTTCAACAATCAATAATTGGAAGAACAAGATTCAATTTCAATATTTAATGTTTACAGTTTAAAAGTATATGTATTTTTTTTTTTTTTTTTTTTTTTTTTTTTAAAATTGTTTTTATAAATTTAAATTAACTTTTTTTTTTTTTTTTTTTTATTTTTTTTTTTATTTTTT